GACAGGAAGGAAAACAGCATGGTAAACATCATTTCTCATCTGGATTCTCTATCCCGTTCCTGGGTCCAATTTCCCGCTCCAATCAGCAGCTTCTTCTTTTTTTTTTTTTTTTTTTTTTTAAAGTCCTGTCAACTCTGTGACACTTTTTAAAACTGCAGCAGATGTGTGTCCCTGTAATGAGGCGTCAGTTTGTGGGTCGCTCACTGAAACACACTGAAAATCTCATCGTTTTGAATTGAATTCTAATGAGCATTTAAAAGACGTTTTTAAGTTCGTGACTTTTCCAAAATTTTTCATTGTTACTGTAACGACAGAATTATTTAGGGTTTAATCATACTCAAGTGGTAGCACAAATGCTTTACCATCAAAATATACACAAAGTACTTAAAATACACAGTTATTAGATTTACATTTTAACCCCTGATCCCATCCATGCTGTCCTCTAAGCGATTTGTAAGACTTCTGGTGAAGCTGTCATGCGGCACAGCTACATGACGCAAGCTCCAATGACGTGACGTGAAGGTGATGCAAATCAATAGGCCGTTTCAGCTTTGGAGAAAAATTTACTACACCCTGGGTTTGAAAAATTGTCTGGGATTCTCCCGTAGACCGAATTATCTTCTGATGCCACTGTCATCTGAAATGGAGGAGGAGCTTAATACGAGTCAACCTCTCTTTTACTAAAAACAGACAAGTAACACGATGTGAGACTTCACACTTCACAGCACTCTAGTCTTAAAGCAGGGGTGTCAAACTCAAATACACAGTGGGCCAAAATTCAAAACTAGAACAAGGTCGTGGGCTAACATTAATATTTATTGAAAAATATATTCCTCCAGATTTAAGAATGAATCTCTTCTTATGGACTCAAACAAGTTTTGCTGAAAAACTGAATGTGGAACAAGCAAAGCTTAATACTAAACAATATATATATTAGCTGTATAATACCAGTAGGCCAGCTCTAATAGTAATTTGGTATGGCTTCGCGGGCCAAATGTAATTAGGCTGCGGGCCAAATTTGGCCCGCGGGCCAGAGTTTGACACCTATGTCTTAAAGCATCAATAGACACGCTACACTCCCCTGTGAACACAGCCCTGCTCCAATGAGGCTGATTAAATGTGAGTGCTTAATAAATCTACTGGATTGGGGATGTGGAGCTCCAGTGGTCAACTGCATAATTAATTAACATTTGAGTGAGCCTTTAAACATGAAATAAGCCTTATCTGTGTATATAAAACACTTAATTTAACACAGTTACTGAAGGTCCAGTCATCTGAGTGAGATAATCAAAGCATTAAAGAGCTGCTGGGTATTGAACACAGACTGATACATCACATCAGTCTGACTTTAGGTCCTAAAATCCAGCATCACTGACCAGTTGAAACCACTTTCTTCTGTAGATATTTAAGAAAAAAAAGAAAAGGTCTATACCTGATCCACACACAACAAACACAAAGAGGGCGAGCAGCCAGGGACCCACTGGATACTTCTCTTCTTGTGGCCGCTGTGGAGGAGAAACACACATCATGTACGTCAGCAAAAATGTGCTGGCGAGCAAACACAGAGGCTTCCCTGCTCCTTGTCCAACTTCAACAACTGTTTTTGCAGGGATAAACCTCAGAGTCTAATTATACACTGAAAGGTGCAGGGTCAGCACTTCTCTCTCCCTCTTTACACGGTGGCTCATCAGTCAAAGGTTTAGAGAGCAGCCGTGATGAGCTCATCTGGTTGGATGTGTTAAACCTGGACCACATGCAGCTTGATTTGATCTCAAGTGGGCTCAACCTGAAAAAGTTTTGCCAGTAACTTAAAGAAGGGAGAGAATTTGTATGTTTACATCTAAAAAGATTTCACTTTAACTTTAAAAAACAAAATAAAGAAAAATATTATTCCTTTCCAAATTATTCTCTTATTTAATGAGACATTCACTCTAAAAAGAACAAACAAACAAACAAAAAAAGCATGTACATATCTTATCAGACACCAGCAACCAGCTCAAGGATTTAGCAGCAGAAACCATGATAATCACAACCAAAGCATTCAGAGGAGCATCTATGAACCCATGACACATTGAGCCTTGAAGCAGATGGGCTACAGCAGCAGAAGACCACACTGGGTGAAACTCCTGTCAGCTAAGAACAAGAATCATTGGAAGATTAGAGAAACGTGGCCTGGTCTATGAAACTCAATTTTTGCTGCAATATATAGATGGTAGGATCCAAATTTGGTGTAAATAATATGGCAGTATGATTCCATCCGGACTTTCATCAACAGTTCTTGCAACACCTTCCTAATAAATTGGCCAGTGTGTCTGTACATTGTAGTTTATAGCTGGCGTCACAGTGGGAAAAGACAAAACCTGCTTGTCTTTAGCTCATCTTAGTCTAGAAATGCTTCCACTCCCCGTGTAATACCATGGGGATCACCAGGGAAGGATTATCACAGAACTTTATTGGAAAACTAGAGCAAATGAGCAAATTTGACATTCTGCATTACATGTCTGCTGTTGGGATGTAAAACGTGTGAGGAGGAGGAGGATGATATGTGAAGAAAACTAATGTTGACATCACTGAATAGAGTTACCGAGACTAACAGAAATGAAAAGAGAAAACTTGTGGAGAAGACAACCCTCCATGATCCCTTTACTGACCTTGAGAACAGATACTAAAGTTAATAAATGTTTAAATCCACAGCAGTGGAAAAGAGTGCAGATAAAAATGAAAATGTGAAGGACGTATTAAAGATATTTTAAAATGTTCCACAGTCATTAAAAGTAATTAATAGTAACTAATAAGACTCATAAGCGCTGCGGTGTAATTTGATTAATCCAAGAAGAGCAGATAATGGAAAAAAAAACAAACAATAAATACGTTTTATTTTATTTATTTTTTGGTCTTTTATGTCAAATAAAATAATTAAACAATTTAATGATCACATGTCCTCTGTTTTATTACTATTTTTAAATTTCTTCATATTTTATTGGTGCCCTTTGTGTACACACCAGCCATCTAACGTCTATTTTCACTTTTTTAATTCAGTGTTTTTTTGGTTTTGCTTTGTGATATCAGCTTGCCATTCAACTGCACTGACCTCAGTGAAAGGTGGGAGCAGGTGAGACAAACATGTTGAGTAGCAGGGATGTCAAAAGGGCAGACTCCTGTTCAGCTCACCTAGTTTGGCATTAACTGTATTTTCTTAGATTTTACAGCTTTCGCTACATTCATACTACACCACATTCATTGATTCAAAAACAATTAAATGAGAGAAAAGCTCCAGTTGGTTCTTTTTTGTCTTTTTTGGGGGGAACTTCACAAAAATCTTCTGGGCAACGAGCCACCACAAACTTTTCTGCAATTTTTTTTTGCAAATGTCTTTCTTAAAATTTAAGCCCAAATGGTTGTGATGCTGTAGTAAGTGAAAGAAACCAATGTTTTCTAGCATGTAGAAATTGCACGGTTTTTTCAATTCAACTCAACTTTATTTACATAGCGCCAAATCACAAAAACAGTTGCCTCAAGGCACTTCATATTGTAAGATAACCATTCTACAATAGTGGACTTGGCGACAGTGGGGAGGAAAACCTCCCTTTTAACAGGAAGAACCCTCCAGCAGGATCAGGCTCAGTGAGGGGCTGGTTGGGGGTTAGGGGAGGCAGGAAAAATGTAGAGTGCTGTACAGTGGTCCTTCGTTTATCGCGGGAGTTACGTTATAACAAATAACCCGTGATAGGTGAAATTCATGAAGTAAGGAAAGTTTTAAAGTCTGTCTCCTGAATCCAAACTGGGAGCTGGTTACATAGGGGTATCAACACAAGGCCCAGGAGCCAGAACTGGCCTGGCGAAGACGCCAAACAATGTGAAGGAGGTCCTAAATAAAGTTAAAAGTCCAAAATGTAAGTTTTACAAGTCTTATTTTTGTTTTTTTAAACAATTGGTCCACAGTAAAACAAACAACAACAAAAATTTCCAAAAAATTACCAAATAAATCTGATAAATAAATCGTACGTTCTTTTATTTACCAAAAAGCCTTTTAGCATTTGTTTTGTTTCATTACTTTTAATCATTTTTGTATTTTTAAATTTTTTTTTTTTAATTTCTAACAAGTCTTTTCTGTTACTTTATGATAGCTCAGTAATTAATGTGTAGTTAAACTTCTTCACCATGACAGAAAGTTTCACCGGTCACTTAGGATCAAAGTGGACTGTATGTGGCCCACAATGTAAAGTAAAATAAAGTGATGGATTTATTGGGGTTTATTTTCCTTTTCCTTGATGACAACCAATTATTTGTTTTTAAATCAATGCATTTCAGACGTGCTCTCACGTTTACCGCTGATTTTATGTCAGAATTAACGGGTTTCGGCAATTTTCCTGCCCTAACTGCAGCCTCTTCACCCGGACAGCAAATGCAGTGTGCGGCGGTCACGAGCGGAGTGAATCCAGTCTGAATAAATTACACCCCGATCCGCTCCGTGTGAAATAAAACACACCGCACATATCACGCTGAAGCTCCCAAGTCGCTCAGCACCCTGACACCTTTAACTGACAGCTGGCACCATCAGCACTACCATCACCGCTGCGCTCACGCCGGGCTGAACGTCACCTCTCTGGGCTAACGTGTCAGGTTGGCGTCGCTCTGCGTGTCCGTTAGCGGCTCACCAGCGTCTTGGCTACGTTTCCTCTTTGAGTGATGTTCTTGCTGTGCTTCTCGTTGGCCATGCGGATCCTCTGTTTGGCCACCATCTTCACCGGGATACGCCAGTCTGTTTTTAGCCTGTTGTTTTCTGATGCTGCAGGTTGACGACAGCAGCAGCAGCGGCGCCTGCGTCAAGTCACCAGAAGTCCGCGAAGAAGAAACCGGAACCGAAGTGCGATAGCGTTCAAAATACGAGCACGAAGCTATTATAACAAGTTTTTATGCTCTATTCTATGATATTCGAAGTTCAGAAATCCAACACGTGACTATCTATATATGCTTACTGTACGTTTAAATCGTTGTAAGACTTAAGTTATAAGAAATTATACAAAATGTTTACCGAGACTCTTACTTTGAAGGGCCCCACAGGATGTTGCGTGTTGTACGTTGTTGAGCTTGAAAACAGCATCCCCATGCACCTGGCGCGTTCAGGGGCGCGCTCCAGCTATCGATGACTGAATAATAGACTGATTGAAAATAAATGAAATAGAAAACGAGTCGTCACTGTACGACTCATTTTCTGTACACATATTTTGTAATAAATATTATGAGATGATTAAAAATAATCTAATTTCTATCCATCCATCCATCCTCTTTTGCTCATCTATATCAAGGTTGTGGGTTTACATGTCTGTCATCTACCTAAATATAACGATGCGTGTTTTGAGACAGCCTAAAAGTTACCTTGTTGTTTGCCTTAAAGAAGAAGGTTGAAATGTTTTTTTTGGTCCAGTGGTTACCAGTCAGAAAGCCAGTGGTTTGATCCCTAGCTCCTTCAGTGTGCATACCAAAGTATCCTTGGCCAAGTTACCTCACCCTTAGTTGTCCTCAGTGCATCCATTTCACTTTGTGGGATTCTTGTTTTGACATTTCAAAGCACTTATTACAAGTCTCATTCACCGATCCAGACAGGTGCTTTTGCCTAACATTCACAAAGTTGCTTTTATTCATCTGGATGTAGCTTTTCAGCGGGAGAAATATTTCGTCACTCGTCTAAGTGACTTAATCAGTCTCGGCTGACTGCAGTTTCCCCACCTTTAAAAACCATATATTTGCATAATAACCTCAAGAATCACCAACAACAGGGCATGGGGTCATGGCCATTGATCAGTGATCATGAAACTGAGTACTATCCACAGATCGGGGGGGGACGACTGCAAGCACTGCATTTATTCTTGGTTGAGAGATGGTCGTTCCTGACCAAACCAGCATTCCTCCCTGTCCAGGATGTGTACATACTCTTCATTGTAAGAGTGTCCACTGACCTGTAGGTGTAAATAAGACTGCGGAGTCCTGGTCTGACGGGGTAGCTCTTCTGTGCCGTGCAGCCTCCTGGCATACACCATATTACTGTTGTTGTGAATGGGGACCCGATCCTTGGGGGTAATGCGTTTTGGGATTTGAAAGTCACGGAGACAGTGTTTTTAGAAAATGCATCTCTGCAATAATACTCCTAACACATAAGGTATCACTAAAGGTTTTCGCTTAAGCAACAGTTGCCCTCCGCTCCTGGATCCAGCTGGCATAACCACATTTACTCAAGGCCTTATTGAAATTATATTCTTCTGCTTCTTTCTGCTGTGCCCGTCTGGGATGGTGTTCATTCTGTGTTGTAGTGTCCGGATAACACCCACCTTTGACTCTTTCAAGATTCCAATTCTGTGTCTGATTCCAGGAAGCCACATCCATTTAAGAGATCCACTGCCAATGTACTGGTTCTATACATCATAATGTCCTCAGAAGTCCTGTTGGGATCAAAAGTGTTTTAGAGGACCTACATATTATTAAGCTGGTAGTATTTTTTTTTTTTTTAGCTCCTACACCCTGGATGCTGTTGTACTTTGTAAACTCTTTCAGTCAATGCGCCATCCCAGTAAAAGCTACCTGGTAAAGATTAATGACCAAACTGGGTATTTGGTGCTTCCTTTCTGCTCTACTTGATTAGCTAGAGCTGCAGATTCACTAACGTCATTATTTTAAGGCTCTAAGTGAACCTTTTAGTATTTACTTTAACCTCTGTACCACAGTGTATTTTCTGTCCCATGTCCCCCCTCTCACCCCCAACGGGTTGCTGCAGATGGATTCCCGTCCCTGATCCTAGTTCTGGTTTCTTCCTGTTAAAAGAGTTTTTCCTTCCCAGTGCCACCAAGTGCTAGCTAATCTGGGGTTGTCTGATTGTTTGGGTTCTCTGTGTATTACTGTAGAATGTTGTGATTGGTGCTATGTAAATAAAACTGAATGGACGTTTTTCCAAATCTCACTCTGATAGATAAGAATACTTAATGTATTTTAAAATTCTTCCACGAGTCTGATTAAACTTGAAAAAGTCAGCCAGTGGCTTTAAGGGCCAGTCTTCAGGGTGATTAATAGTTAGCTGTCAAAATGAACAAAAACCAAGTGTTTCTGATATCAGCAAACCCACTAAAGCCTTTTTTAAATGACTAACTGGCTACAATACTGGCAAATGTTTACACCACTTGAAAAAACTCGTACTGCTGGTCTTGTTGTGAACATTTATCAGAGTGAATGGATTATTGCTGTAAGGCGGTACTTGTTTGACACCACACTACACAATCAGGGTCAATAGACTCTGTGTTTAGACCACCTTAAATTACAGCCTGTGTGTCTGACTACAGCGGAGCGACAAGTGCATGGTGAGAGTGATAAGAAGGTACTCACTCTCATGTTACACAGACAACAGCAAAATGACCAATATAAGCATGAAACCCATCTCAATGCAGTGAGTAACAGCTCAGCTTTTACTTAGTATGACATGTGTTTCTATTACAGCGTCCTTACATCACGAGGAGGAGCGAGCCGGCTGCTCGCAGTCAGGAGGGCAGAGACAGAGTAGAAGTTTCCTAGCAACGGAGTCAAAGAGTTTACTTGGAAAGGACTCCACCAATGAAGAAGAGACAGACGGGTTGTCCAAACACTGTACTTACGAGTGTGTTTGTACAGAGGGCCTCGAATGGTTAGATTATCAACTGCTTGACCAACTATACAGTCTGAAATACATACAGAATACAGCATGTTGCTTTTACTTTTGTAGTGCACCCCAAGACAGGTTAACAACGGAAAAGTGTTTAACTGTTGGCAGAATCAGTCCTATAATCACATTAATACAAATCGGACACCACATTTATTTCTTCCAGGAGAGTATGAGTCAACGCACATTTTATTTCAGACAGTGAAATTACAAAGAGAAGGAATACTTTCAGCTTATACCATTTTAAATAAAAAAAAAAAATGTAAGCAGGCCATTTATTTTAACATGTACAGAAACAAAACTAACATGCATGGCACTTGTCCATACCCATAATTTAGTACACATGGTTGCACTGTTTAATGAATGTAAGGGCATCTGGACCTCTGAATTCTTTAAACAGAGTTTGTAAAATTTGGAAAAATTTTACAGAGTTAAAGAATGTTCTAAGCAAAAGAGAAGACAGATTGCAACTTTTGCTGGGTCTTTTGTTTTTATGAAAAAAAAAAAAGACTGATCTCAATGGGCCTTTTCTGGTAAAAATAAAAAGCAATCAACTAAACTAACCCCCACTGATCACTAATGTAGCTGAAAGCAGAAGCATAAGCTGTGTTTAGAATAAAGGTAAGCAGAGATGACACTGAATTGTGTGCTTCGGTGTATTAGCCATATTCTTACAGTTGTGGACCCACCTCTCAATTTATAATTGATACTTATGAATTTACAAAACCAAAGATTCTCCTGATAGGCTCCCGTTTTCTCCTTTGCCACCCCATTTAAGAAGGAGAAGAAGAAGGAAAAAAAAAAGCTCAGGGGGTGGTGTAGCAACCTTGTCAGCCTCTCTGACCTGACTGCAAGTCTCCAGCTGCTGAGCTCAAGCCTGCCAAGAAAAATAACACCCAGCTCCCTCTGAAAATGCAAACATTTGACATTTCCCTTCGTGTGTGAAAAAGAAGCGCTGCGAGGAAGTCAGAGGTTGTGGCTGCGACTTCAGATCAAATGTCCTGGTGTGATCGGCGTCAATGCAGGACCTGAATTTGAAGCTTCTTTCTTTCCTATCCTGGGAGGTCTCCATGGTCTCTGAAAGAATGAACAGTTTTTGGTGAACCAAGATCCAAATTGGCATGAATAAACAACAGATTTGGATGCAAAAAACAAATTATAAGCCTCCTTCTCTGCAATGACAAACCATTTAGCTTTTGGTGATATTTGGTCAATGTTACCTAAACATTATCATCCTGAAGAGTTGGTTGGTTTAAGAGAGATTTATAAATATGATATTGTAATTTAAGCATTCCTGCTAAGTGACTGTACTTTGTAACTTTAGGCACCCAAATCACTTTGTCACCTAGTCACGTGGCAACAACTCACCATTTAAGCCACTGAACTTTAAGCTGATCATCAGTAGGGGAAGAAAGGTCATTTAACCCTTAAGCCCTCCGACATTTTTTTTCCAACTTTTTCCATTGATGAAAAAGATTTCCTGCAAAAAGAATCCATGACAGAAGCTTAACACAGCCAAAAATGATCGTCAAATCAAATTTTTAAAATCAGTGTCTTTTACTCTTACATGTGGTCCATACTCTGATGCATTTGCACCCTTTTGAAAGAAGAAGAAAAAAAAAGAAAGAAATATTCAAGGATTTTATGGCAGATTTTGCAATGTGAGGAGACAAGAGCAAAGTGACGTTGAATGTAACATGGTGGTAGTTGTTGGCGGTGTCAGACACTGTAAATCCAAGTAACATCGCGTGGGAAAATTCCAGCAGATCAGCAGTTTCTGAAATGCTATGAACAGAGAATGTGTTGAAAAAGAAAATGTTCAGTTCTCTGGGTGAAAACATCTTGTCGATGCCAGAGGAGACTGGCCAGACTGCTTTGAGCTAATAGGAAGGCAGCAGGTATAACGGGAAACTGAGGTGACAATGGCTCGCCAAAATTAGCCAGACGATTTAAAAAAAAAAAAAAAAAAAAAAAACAGAAACACCACAACATACACACCCCCCCCCGAAAAAAAACAAGCATTGCTTGGTCTGAAGAGTCCCGATTTCTGCTGCGACCTTTGAAATTTGGGGTCAAAATTTGGCATAAACAGCATGACACCATGAATCCATACTGCCTTGTGTCAGTGATCATCATTTAAAACACCACAGCTTACCTGATTATTGCTGCTGACCACA